CCCTGCTGAAAAAGTTTGCTGGCCCCTGTTCCAGACCTTCCAAGTGTCCCTAGTTTCCAGGGACACTCCCAGATTTACAGAAGCCATCCTGGTTTCTGATTTGATCCCGGACTGTCCCGCTTTTCCTTAGGACGTCCCTATTTTCACCGGAGAGATGTTGCAGGGTATGGAGCTATGTGACTCCTGACCCAAGGAGATAAGTAACTATGCAACCTTTAGAAGACATCTGAAGGCAGGCCTGAATGGGAAAGTTTTTTTAAAAAAAATATTTAAATGTTTTATTATGTTTTGATATATGTTGGAAGCCGCCCAGAGGGGCTGCGGAAACCCAGTCAGATGGGCGGAATATAAGTAATAAAACAACTACTAATACAGAGGTACCTCGAGAGTCTAACAGCATTTGTTCCGGAAGTCTGTTCAACTTCCAAAACATTCAGAAACCAAGGCGCAGCTTCTGATTGGCTGCAGGAAGCTCCTGCAGCCAATCGGAAGCCACGGAAGTCCCGTCGGATGTTCGGCTTCCAAAGAATGTTTGCAAACTGGAACACTCATGTCTGGGTTTGTGGCGTTCAGGAGCCAAAACGTCCGCGTACCAAGGCGTTCAACAACCAAGGTACGACTGTACTGTTATTGAACAGGACGTCCCTGGATTCATCAGAGAAACGTTGGAGGGTATGAGATTCAGGACTGAATTTTTAAAAGTACTCCTTATAGACACACACACACACACACACACACAACAGTGTGCATAATTAATATATAGCATTTACTGTCGCAGGATGCGGCGACGGCCACAAGCTTCAATGGCATTCAAAGAGAATTAGACTTATTCATGGAGGGAGGGAGGCGTATTGATGACTATTAGCCTTAGTGGCTGAATGAAGCTGCCGCATTTGAAGGCAGCATGGCTGGGGGGGGGGGCTTTGTGGACGAGGCATTAGCAGTTGCTGGGGGGCAGTCAGCAGTGGAGTCTCGTTGCGTTCCTGCCCTACCCAGGGGCTACCCCGATGCATTTGGTTGGCCACTGCCGGAAGCTGTATCCTGCCATAGCTCCGCGATAGAGCATCTGACTGGCATTTAGAAGGCTTTCGGTTCAATTCCCAGCATCTCCAGGTCGGGCTGGGAATCACAGCCTACCTGGAGAGCCTCTGGCAATCTGTGTAGACCAGGGGTCTGCAACCCGTGGCTCCGGAGCCGCATGTGGCTCTTTTACACCTTTGCCGCGGCTCCGGGGCGGATACTAGCGAGGGGAGGAGGCGCATTGTGCGCCCCGACACTCCCCACTGTGGCGGGCGCTGTACTGACTGTGATGTCGCATGGGGGCGGTGCATGCGTTAGTCACGCACCGTCCCGACGTCACCTTCCCACCCGCTGTCAGATCGCGGCTCCGGAGATATATTTGTTTTAAATGTCGCAATGGTTTTGCGGCTCCCAGTTTTTTCCCCCTTCGGAAACGGGTCCAAGTGGCTCTTTTTGTCTTAAAGGTTGCAGACCCCTGGTGTAGACGATACTGAGCTAGAACGACTGATGGTCTGGCTCCGAATAAAGCAGCTGCTTATGTTACTTAGTCTAGCAGGGCCAAGCTCATGTATGAGAATTCCCCACTGGCGCATCCTACCTCTTGTGAGTTAAGAGGAGCTCAGAAAGCACAGCTTTCTTGTGGGCTCCAAAGTCTTGGAGCCGGCAGCGCTTACTTGTTTTCTGCTTTGCTCCGATCGCCAGGAAAGAAGCAGGGGCGCGAAATGGCTTGGGGTGAGGGAGGAGAGAGCTGCAGGAGGTGGGAGAGAAATCTAAAATGGCTGCCGCTGCTGGTCACTCGTGCCTCGGCGGCTAGTGCTGCGAGTCCTGGCTGGGCTGCATGAGGATGGAAGCAGGAGAAAGCCCAAGAGAGTGGGGAGACAGTGAGATAAGATGGGTTTCATGTTCAAGCCTGGGGTTACATATGTGCCCCAAGTCTGGGAAGTTTGCAAACCGCCGCTGTCTATGCACCCCCTAAACGAGCCGGGGAAATGGACTCCTTTTCCGGTCATAGGGGCAGTTGGATTCGGACAGAAGAAATGCACCAGAAAGAGCTAGCTCTGTTTGGCTGAGGCTGTGTGCAAGGAGAAGAAGCTGTGGAGAGCAGCCCTGAGTCTCGGTTTGGGGCTGGTGGCCCCAGGCCAGCCATGGGTGCCCCTACTCGGAGGCACGAAGGTTCCTGCCGAGCTGGGCTGAGTCAGTCGGGGTGGGAGGAGAGAGTTAACCATGGCTGTTGGATCATGGCCCAGAGCTCTGTTTTTTTTTCCCAGCGTCCCTCTCTCCTTTGCTCTCTCCCGCTCTCCCTCCTCCTTTCTCTCTTTCTCTTCCCCCCTCCACTGGCACTGAGCGCTCACTCATTCTCCCAGCAAAGCACCCCCAGCTCCCTCCCAGCTCCCCTCGGCCACTGTGCCCCGGCACCCTCTGCAATCTCCTCTCCCACCCTGCTCCAAGCCTCAGGCACGATCTACCTCAGCTTGGCACACCCTGGCAGAGTTCCCGGCCTCTCGTCCCTCTCGCCCTCGGTGCCAGCCAAACCCCTCCATTTTCTTTCTCCTTCGCTCTGTAACCTGCACCCTTTCTCGCTTTTGTCCCCCACCCCACCCCCAGCTCAGGGCATCCCCCCCCTTGAACCCCGAAGACCGCGTCCCTGGAGGCGAACCCGTCCCGAGCCGGGTGAGGCGTCATGCTAAAGACTTTGCTTTTTTATTCCCCCTGTGTATGCCAATTTTGGGAAGAGGAAAAAAAAGTTTTGTTTCGGGATAGCTGTGGGGCGGCGGGCTGAGATTGAGGGGCGTCCCCATTGGGTTGGGACACTGAGAGGCTTGGCAAGCGAGGGGGGACGAGGGTGGAGCATAATGGCGGCGCTTTGTTTGAGGACGGGGGTCCCGCAGGCAGGGAAGCAAGCGGATCATGCCTGGAGTTCCTCGGTTTATCTTTACTGTAGTGAAGCCCAGGTAGATACTGCAGCCCCAAGGGCCACGTTGACCGTTCTTCTGCTGTACCAGACAAAAAGGAGGCGATAGGTGGGCCAAAATGCTTGGACCACATTGCGCCCGGGCACAGTTTGTGCCGTGGCGGTCGCAGCAAACGCCAAGTCCTGCTTCTTCCTCTGATCTAGGAATGCCAAGGCACAAACTGCTTAAGGGTTAGCTGGGCTAATGCCCGGAGAGCACTGCCGTTGCATCCTGAGCCCTTCGATGCTCTCCCTTGTGCGCCCCATAATTTTGGTGCGTGGCCTCGCGGATCCTTCACCCTCAGAGGGGATCTTAATCCACCACTGCAGATCCCCACAGGCAAGTACTGCAAATGCCAGCAGCCTCCTTTGGTTATTCCGGCTCACCCCCGGGGTTTGGGCCCGCAGTCCCTCCGCGCACACCCCGAATGTTCGCCTGAGCTCCCCCAGGCTCAGTTAAAAAAAAAAAAAATTGGCCGCAGTGCAGTTGTGTAACAGGACTGAAGGCCTTTCAGGAATTTCCCCCATCAGGCTCTGGGCTGGAAGATCGCCGCAGAGTTAGGTAAGGAGCGGGGGTGCCTGGAGTTCTGTGGTTCCCAGGGAATCTGATCTGGCCTGGCTGTAGGGCTTGGGAGCAAAAAGCAGTGTGGCGGCAGCAGCGATAGGGGAAGTGCAAACCCTCAAGATCTCGTTCAGACACCTCCTTCTGCGTTTGCTGCATTTGCTCAGCTCCTGTTTGTCTGCATCTAAAATCGGTGGTGTGTGTGTTTTGTTTTCAAACCACAACAGGGGCAAAAAGAAGAAGAAGAAAGGGTTATCCAAGACAGTGTAGGATGGGAGTGTTGCCCCTCAGCAGCCCCACTCGATTTTGGTGGGGAGGAATAGCCAGAGGTGGTTGGGTGGGAGAGGCTGCAGTGGGTCAGGGTTGAAAAAGAGAGGGAGGGAGGGTGGGGAAGAGAGAGACTTGTAGCATTGATGGAAGCTGTATGCGCAGCACTAAGAAGGGGGCTGGCGGGTGCCATGGGCGATGGATCGGCACAGGGAGGGTGGATTGGCACGATGCCAAGGCCTAGGCGGCCGTTGCTAGGAAACCCAGGTTCCCTTGGCAGCCAGACCGCCGTTTCACTTTCATTAAAGGGTGAGGGAGACGGAGACAGAGAAGAAATGGGGAAAGTGGCAGGGGGGGGAGAGAGAGAGGCAGGTCAGGCGGAGCCTTTAGAAGGGGCGGTGGCGGAGTCGGGTCAAGCAGCAGCGTGTGGGGGTCACAAGGACGAGGGCACAGTCCGGAGCTGGGTTCAAATGCCCGCTGCAGAGGGCAGGGTGGGGTCCCATCGTGGTGTGCCAGCCCCCCCACCCCTTGGCTCTCGTGAATAGATAAGGAATCAACTTCTCCCTCTCTGAGAAGGTTTTCATGAGGAGGGTGTGTGCATGCGCACATGCATGCTCCGGGCCTTTGGTTCACAAGGAAAGTGCAAAAGTGAGTGTGGGGGGCAGTGTGGGGGAGAGAGCAAGAGGGCAAAAGACCCACCGCAGGTCAGTTTTGGGGGTGTAGTATCAAGACAAAGGAGGCAGAGGCCTTCTGTGCTCGTGCTTTTCAAAAAAAGAATATTCCACAAAAAATTATAAACTACACAGCAACCCTTGGTCCCCCCCATCCCCCCTGCAAGCTCCCTACTCCCCCCCCCACTTGCTTTGAGGAATTTTAGGCCCAAAGCCTAATCCCTTTCTCTTACACTCCCCACCCCACCCCAAAAACCCAGGCTGCTCTCTGCTGCCATTGTCTCTACTGCCCTCCCTGCAAAATGGCCAGCACGGGTCATTTGGAAGCTGGGACAGAGGCATATGGGGAGGAGGGGCATTTGGTGGCTGTAAGTGTCTGGAAGTGGGTGGGTGATGGGTTGGTAGATCAGGGGAGCTTTGGATTCCAACCTGGAATAGCTGTGGTTGAGCCCTGGCAAGTGAGGAGGGCACCACGCAGGGTGAATATTCGCTGCACTTAGGGAGACAAGTCGCCGTGTGGAGTGGCAGCCGGGGGGGGGGAGTCGGGAAGGTTGGGTCAGCAGACTGGTACTCCAGAGCAGCTGGCAATCTGGAGGGTGGGCGTTGAACTGGAAGAAAGGAAAGGAAGATAGATGGCACGGGGAGGGCCTCTCCAGTTGGCGCTTAAGGGTTGGCACAGGAGACGGTGGCAGGTAATGATATAGCTGGGGAGGGTTGGCGGTTGCGAAGCCGGGGGGGCGGGGAGGGCGGCAGGTTCCTGGCATTTTGAGGCCAGGTTGGCGAGCAGAGAAGGCCTCGCAGGCAGGCGGGTGGGGGCGGAGGAGGGCTGGCTGCCTGGCACTCCGGGGGCCAGCCTGCTGGCGGGCAAGTTGGCATAGTGTACCGCAATACAGCGTGATGTGAATTCATTAGAGGCCAGAGCGAGAGAGCGAGACAGGAAGGGAAGGGAAGTGGCGGAGGGGGGGGAGAGAATGGGAGACGGGCACTGACCCAAAGGCCAGACAATGGCAGCAGGTAACCATGGTGATGCGCCCGGCTGTGCCAGCCTAGCTGCCGAACTGGGAAGAGAGTTATCCAGACAACCCCTGGGGAACTGCCCGCCCACAGTGGTGTGGGGTGCAAGAGAGGGGTGGGTCACCCTTTTCCATTCTTCCCCTTCTGTCTACTATTTATGAATGTGCGGCTGGTGCCAACATGACCCCCCCCTTTCTGCTCCCACACTCCATCTCTACCTCCTCGGCTGTTTTCCCCATCCTTCTCTCACACCTCTGTCTGATCTTTTCATCCCTCTGTTGTCCTCTGTTGCTGTCTGGCTTGCCCCTGTTCTCCCCCACCGACCCGCCCCACAGCGGTGCCCTTCTTTCTTTCCAGCCAGACCCCTATCCACATAACATCCCCCTCTCCATCCCAGGACCCTCCTGTGTTGACGGTGTCGCCTGAGGGACGGCGGGGGGGGGGGGGCAGGGAGGTGGCACCGTGCCCAGATCTGAGTATTCCTCCCTGCCTGCACGTCCCTATCTTTCTTCTCCATTGTCTGCCTCGGTCTTTTTGCTTTTCGCCTTCCTCTTGTTCTCCACGCCGCCGCCACAGCTGTCCGCCGGCTTCTCCCACCTCATGCCTGGCCCTCTCTGTCGTTTTATTTCCCACCCCCACCCACCCCCTGTGTATCTTGGCACGAGATGCCCATCTAATAGATATTCCGAGGCTCGCTCTCCTCTGCCACTGCAGCCCCCCTCCCATTCCAGCACATCACCTCAGGGTGAGTCCCAGTGCATGGTCTGTAGGTCCCTCACTCCACCCTTGTTCCCCATTTTAAAAAAGCACACACAGAGAGAGAGATTAAATGTTTAGGGCGAGATGGCGACTGTTGTGGGGGGAGCATGCCTGGGATTTATTTCCTCCTTTACAGACCCATCTTCTCCTTGCACTCCCTTCGTCCTTTCATTCCTGCCGTCGTCTCTTGCAGCCAGAGAGGTTTGCGACCAGGCCTGGCGCTGTTGTTAGGCAGAGTGGGGCGGCTGCCTCAGGCGGCAGATGTGGGCGGGTGGTATCAGTGGTGAGATACTGGAGGGCAGAGCTGTGTGCATCATGCGGTCTGCTCTATGCCTCCTAAGCTAGCCTGTTGCCCTCAGGTACTTCTTTTGTACCTGGAAAGGAGACAGGGCGCCATCTTGTCCTTTGTCTCAAGCGGCGCAGTGCCTTGGGCAGGTGCCTGTACATATTAGGGCTCCATACACGCTATACATTTAAAGCACCCCCGCAAAGAATCCTGGGAACTGTAGTTTACCCCTCCCAGAGTTACAATTCCCAGCGCCCTTAACAAACAACAGTTGCCAGGATTTGGGGGAGGGGGGGCTGACCTGAACAGAAAGAGCCTTGTCTTCTATGGAAGAGCAGGGATGTTGAACTTGTGGGGTGAGGGTTTCACCTCAGAAGATGGGGCTAGTTTAGTGGGTAGCTAGTTTAATATAGCTAATATATCTGGTTTTCACGACGCTGCAAAGATCCATTTCATTCTGAACCACGAAAGGAAACCACCTTTTCAGTTTCTAACGCAGGAGAAGCGATGGCAGAATTACAAACTCCATTTGGATTTCTCAGGAAGGGCCTGTTACGCCCCTGTCGGTCTTCAATCCTGGTGCAACTTTTTCAGCATAATTAGAAAAATGCAGGCGATTACCTCAGAGTGCAGCCCATAGATAGGGATTATGAAGGCCTCCCCCCTCCCTCCAAAATTATAATTAACTTGATCAATATTCCAGTGCAGGGCTTGGAGAGATCTCTGCTCCCAGCCATTGTAGGCAGCACTGTGCTGGATGGAACAATGGTCTATCTCATTATAAGGCCACTTCCCATATTTCTAAATTTCCTGTGGCTTCTCTTGAAATTCCTTACGATGTTTTGCCCGAGGAAGAACATCTAAAATACCCCGTGAATTTTGATTTAGGTGATGCCTGGCAGCAGCCTAAGGATGCGTAGAATTGCCCAGATAATTATTTGTCAGTTTGAGCAAAATTCGTTTGGCTTCCCTCCCCGCCTCCTGAGGACGAATTTTTAAACGAACTCCTCAGGCGAAGTTTCGGCTGAAGCAACTGGAACCTGCGAAATGGAGCCTTTGCAGGGCACCAGGAACTGATGAGCACATTTCTTGGACTTGTACCTCAGAGAGGATTTTTGCATCAAGGCCTGCTTCTTGAGCATCTGTCAAGACAGAGATACCCCGAAACAATAGATAGACCTGCTATTCGAATATACCTGCTTGCCTCTTAACTCTACAGGACTTAGCATTTATATAATTAACTAGACCTATCTCCTTTTTCCTTTAGCCTGGTTGGAGGAGGGTGCCTCTGAACATGGACAGAGTATCTCTCTCTCTCTCTCTCTCTCTCTCACACACACACACACACACACACACACACGAGTTGTCACTGGGGTGTTGCATGTTGGATTTTGGATGTAGGAAATGGTCTTATCACTCCCTGATCCTAACCTAGCTTGCAAGGTTGTCGTAAGAGCAAATTGTAACAACCCAGTGTAACTTACCCTGAGCTCACTGGAAGAAGCGTGTTATGCAAATGAACAAAAGACATAAAAAGAATTAAGGGGAACAGAAGGTGTTTTTTTTTCCTAGAGAAGTTTGTTTCCCCTGTGCTTCTTATTTTCTACGAAAGAATAAGCCCTTTAAAATTAGGGGTTCATGTATTCCCCACCACCACCTGAGAACTCAAAGTGATTAAACTACAAATGCACTCAGAATCTGCTAAACTCAGCTTTGCTTTATTCGGTTTGTACAGTCTCCTTAAACAAAGAGGAAAACTTTTCTCTCTTTTTTTCTAGACTAAGAACCAGAGAACCCATTTCTGAGCCCCACTGAAGAGAAATGGGGGAAGACAACCCCTAGAGGTAAGATTGTTAAATGAACATTATTTCCCCTCATCGGTAAACATCATTTCACAAGCAATTTGCACATTTAAAACGACAACAAAAAGAAGTATTCTGGCCCTCTGATCTTGTTTGCTCTCACCTCAGCTTTGCTGCTGATGTTCCCATTTTGCAGATTGGGAGCTATAACTTGGGACAGCGATGACTTCCCTGAGACAGCCCAGTGAGTTCATTGCTGCCCAGAGATGATGAACTTAGATTCTTCAGATCCTGTGCATTGTTAGTAGTTTGCCCTGGCTCTCTTCTCCGCCACCAGACAGTTGCCTCTACCCATCTTCCTTATCTTAACTCCACTGGAAGGCCCCAACCTTTAGCATCTTTATCAGGGCTGCTTCAGTAATTGCAAGGAAGCATCGAGAGCGAAGCACTTCCTCTCCCCACCAGTGGTGTCAAGAGGGGAATGATGTGCATGTCCCCTGTGCCAGGGGGTGAGGAACCTTTTTTCAGCCAGAGGGCCAAATTTCCCCCTGGACAGCCTTCCAAGGGCCACATTGGGCAGGGTCAGAGGCAAAAACAAGCAGAGAAACATGGGCAGGTTTTGCCTTTCTGCTGCAGGCTAGTTCCTACACAAACTCGCACAAACTCGCACACCCCATCCAGACCAGAAAGAGGCCTTGTCAGTCAGGCAGAAGTGTTTGGGGTGTGAAGCAGGCTCAGTGTTGGGCCATGGCCTGTTGAGAGGGTGAGACGCCAGGGGAAATTTCCAACACTCAGCCAGATGTTGAGTGCCTGGGACTCAAGTTCCCTATCTCTGCCCTTACAGGGAAAATGAGTGTTCTCCCCTCTGCTTTGGGCAGATGTACTTTGTCCTGTGTGAGAAATAAACGCCACCTCCTTTATTTATAGGGAGAGGAGGCATATGTGGCTCGTGCTTCCTGTCTCTTACCACCCGTTCGAAGAATTTAAAGTAGCTGGTGATCGTACTGTGCCCTCGCAGACCCCCAAGCGTGGCGACCCCTAGTGAGAGGCTGTCATTGCATCATACCCTTCCTGACTAACCCTCCCATTCCTTCCCCACCTTTCAAAGGGCGGGATGGGTGTAAGGTTTAGTGCTGCTGGGACACAGGAAGGAGGGATGCCTAGCACCAAAGGATTGCCCACCCATCCCTCCCCAGGGGTCTTCTCTCTTGCCTCTGAGCTGGAGAAACGCCCATTCATTTCAGCAAACCATGCACAGGAGAATTTCCTAGAGGACATTCTAATCAGGAGGAGAGATTTGCCTTTTGAATGTTCAGCCTCAGGCACCCAAATAACTTAGACCGGCTCTTGCTGTCGCGAGCCACCCACTTCAACACCTCTGTGACATGACTGGCACCGTCACTGTGAAGAGTCTTTGTACAGCAAAGCATGGCGATGAGCGTAATCAGCCTTTCCTTCTGCTCTTCCGGGCCCTCCCTGCAAATCTGGGTTGAGTTACTTTCATATTTTGAGTTGATTCACGGTTTCCTCTTACACTCTGCAGTGAGTCAGCGCTTTTATTTTGAAAAATCGTTACTTTGTTCTGAAAAGAACCGGGCGAGGCTTCTATTCACAATTCCGCTGCAGAAACATTTATGTTTGGAGCAGCTGGAAGCAGCTTTGGCTGGGGAGAGGGGACCAGAATCCATTAAGTGGCTAAGAGGCTAGGGTACCCCACCTGTGCGCTAAGCATCTGTCTGTGCAGAGAGCGGTCGATTCGAAGTGTTTGATGCCCTCACCCAAGCTGCATGGGAGCGTCCAGTTTGCAGATCCGTGCCTTACATTTAAAGCACATGGCTTTTCCCAAAGAATCCTGGGAACTCTAGTTTGCCAAGAGTGCTGTGATTTGTAAGTCTGCGGGGAGGAATACTACGCTTCCCATGATTATTTGGGGGAAGCCATGTGCTTTAAATCTATGGTGGGGGATGTGACCTCAAAGCACGTTTAAAGCACAGGATTCTTTTGGTGGACGGGTGCTTTAAACTGATGGCGTGTACACTCCCTAGTGACCCTTCCCCCTTCATTCTGCATATTTAGTTGTGCCGCACAGCAGTGCAGAAGGAGCACAATTTCCATTTGGAAGCCAAGATGGTGACCGTAAACAACATTAGCTTTTATTGCTGCTGCATCACAACTGTTGAGTCATTGTGATGTCCACCAAGACCCTTAGATCCTATTCACATGTATTGCTGGTAAGCCAGGTGACCCCCCCCATCTTATATGTGTGCATCTGGTTCTTCCTGCCTAAGTGCGGAACCTTACATTTGTCCCTATTGAAATTCGCTTTCTTAGCTTGGGCCCAGTTCTCCAATCAGTTAATCATCGTTTTGAATTCTGATTCTGTCTTCTGTGGCTGCCCCTCCCAGTTTGGTGTCACCAGCAGATTTGATGAGCACTTCCTTCATCCAAGTCATTTACAAAGCTGTTGAACGATGGGCTCAGGACAGGACCCTGCGGCACCCCACTTTCTCCCAGAATGATAAGGAACCATTAGAGAGCGCTTTTTGGGTTGGGCCAGTCGACCATCTTGCAAATCTACCTAGCAGTTCCAGCCCACATTTTACCAGCTTCTCCAGCGGAATCCCATGGGGGGACTTTGTCAAAAGAACTCGATACACTATGGCAAGTGGCGTAGCGTGGGGGGTGCAGGGGGGGCCGGGCGCAACATCTGGGGGGGGGCGCACTCGCAGCTCTCTGACCCTACCTGGCTCACTCACTCAGAGTGAGAGTTAGGGGGCGCAAATTACTTGCCTTGCCTCGGGTGCTGACAACCCACGCTACGCCACTGACTATGGTTCAGGGTACGTTCCTGTTTCCGTATCCTGACTTCCTGGTGCAAGTGAGCCAGTGCGAGAAAGGCTCAAGCGGTGCTTTTAAAACTCCCAGTGCCAGTTTCTCCCCACCTGCAATCTGAGCCCTCTGGATTGTCCAGGCCAGGTTTCAACAGAATGGATCGACTCGTACAGGGATGAACTAAGTTAAAATTTCCTTGCCCAGCCATGGATTTGCTGGGAACTTTGGGCAGGCCACAGTTTATTGAGCTCAGCTTCCTGTCTCTAGAATTGCATCCTACCTTAGCACTCAAATGCTCAAGGCCTGCTGTATGTATTCAAGCTGTCACTCCAGCTCAGATTTATGGCTCTTCTTCCAGCAACAGGTAATTTGGTTTGGGGAGGGGCAGGGAAACCCAAACAGCAGAATCCTAGGTCCTTAAAGGATTCAGGATACCAGGACACATATTTATCTTATTTTTGCAAAAGAAAAAAGATGCTGATTTGGTAAAGAGCCTGCTGGATTAGGCCAAAGGCCCGTCTAATCCAGCATCCTGTTCCCAACTAGATATTCACATGCAAGCATGCAAGGTGGAACTGAGCGCAACAGCACTCTCCCCTCCTATAGTTTCCAGAAACTGCTAGCTAGGAATATGCCACCTCTGACCAAGGAGGTAGGGAAATCCATTCTGTAAGCAAAGTGTGTGTGCGCGGTTTTTTTTTAATGTTTAAAAGGGGGCAGTGGAAAGGAACAAAAGCCTCAGGCCCCCTTGGCTACCCCCTAACAGCACCCTTGTTGCCCAGCTTGGGCCCACTTAATACTGATGATTAAAATAAGTAAATAAAATTCCAGGAACTGCATTCCTTGTTCCTTCTCCCCCCCCCCAACAAAAAAACAACAACAACAACCCCAAGGTGATTGAAATGAAGTTTGTACAGATCAGCTTAATGTGTCTAATGCCATAAGGTAGGCATTTTTTAGCTCAGACTCCTAGACTGTGTGTGTGTGTGTGTGTGTGTGTGTGTGAGAGAAATGACGTTTCATTTGGGTTACACACATAAATATTAAGCTTAAACACTGCTCAACAACTACCTCTAGCATTACATTAGATTATTTTATTATTGTTGTTATTATTTTGAAGCACAGTAAGGTGTCTAAGATAAAACATGTTACGTTATCATCTGGTTAAACTTACAAATACCATAGCAGAATGCTGGTGGCGAAAGAGCTCCCCCTTGTGCATTTTCTCTGAAATTCCTCTCTTTAACCCACTGCCTCTACTCTCTTGCATTTTGTCCTGTGACAGCCGTCCTTTCTCTTTGTCGCCAGCTTCTGCAGGACGGTCCATAGAACAGGCTCACGAGCCAGAAATAAACTAGCAGAAGCGGGGGGGCGGAGACACCCTCTTTGTTCAAAAGACAGTGTGGGCCTTGAAGAGGAATAAGTGGGAGAGAGAGAGACTGTCATGCCACTGGGAGAACTAAGAGCATAACCCAAGTTCAGTTGCACATTCTCTTTGGTGGTCACTCATAGCCGAGGGTCTTCCATGAACACGGTCTTAACAGTGTGTCCGTAATTGACTGTGGAAGCCAATTCTGGATCCACACATCCTTCCACAGTGGGCACATAGGTCTCCAGGCGGGATATGATCATGGTGAGGATTTGCCAAACGTGCCTTCCTCTTAGCTCATTTCTCCCTTTCATCCTGAATTTTTGCTTCTTCAAAGTCCACAACGCCTTCAGTAGAGGCTATTCTCCAGTTCAAGCGCTTGCAGGCCAGTGTTTCTGCATTACATTTTTTAGATTTGCCTTGAGAGCGTCTTTAAACCTCTCTTATCGCCACCAGCATTTCGCTTTCCATTCTTAAGTTGGGAATAGAGTACAGTCAAACTTCGGGTCCTGAATGGCTCCCTTTCGGAACGTTTTGGCTCCCAAACGTTCCCAAAGTAAATGCTCCGGTTTTTGAACATTTTTCAGAAGCCAAATGTCCGACGCGGCTTCCGATTGAGTGCAGGAAGCTCCTGCAGCCAATCGGAAGCCACACCTTGGTTTTTGAACAGTTTCAGGAGTCAAAGGGACTCCTGGAATGGATTATGTTCAAGAACCAAGGTACCACTGTAGTTGCTTTGGAAGATGATAATCAGGCATCTGAACAGCATGTCCATAGTTGTGCATCCACCACTATGAGAGCCGGTTCCAAGACTGCATGGTGGTGAATAATAATAATAATAATAATAATAATAATAATAATAATAATTTATTATTCATACCCCGCCCATCTGGCTGGGTTTCCCCAGCCACTCTGGGCAGCTTCCAACAAAACACTTAAATACAATAACCTATTAATCATAAAAAGCTTCCCTAAACAGGGCTGCCTTCAGATGTCTTCTAAAAGTCTGGTAGTTGTTTTTCTCTTTGACATCTGATGGGAGGGTGTTCCACAGGGCGGGTGCCACTACTGAGAAGGCCCTCTGCCTGGTTCCCTGTAACTTGGCTTCTCGCAGTGAGGGAACCGCCAGAAGGCCCTCAGCGCTGGACCTCAGTGTCCGGACAGAACGATGGAGGTGGAGACGCTCCTTCAGGTATACTGGACCAAGGCCGTGAATTCACAGCTGTTCTGGGATAATGCTCTTAGTTCTCCCATGAGGATGGCAGGTTCTTAGCAAAGTGTTGCCTGGTGGCCTGCCCTTTCAAACACTCTTAATGCTGATGAGACCTGCTGGCCTTATCTGGCAGTGGTAGACAATAGCTATTGGACAGGTGCTCTGATCAGCACCTTGGCAGTGGGACTTTTCCAGTGGATCATCTTATTACAATAGCCAGCCTTCCTTTCATGGAACTCATGGCAGCAGACATGAGGTTCCCAGTTGGGGCCTGCTGCCAGGTAGAGACCAGACCCACACCTGCTTAGCTTCAGTACTGTTGCTGTGTTCTATGCCTTCAGATCATAGGCTTACAAGAAACTAATTTAATTCTTTCTTTTTTTTAAAATCAATTTTATTAAAGGTTTCAACCTAATATACCATCAAATTCAAACTAAACTAAACAGAATAATAAAAAACAATACATCAAACTGGAAAAAACTGGAGAAAAAAACACATTAATAATAATCCTCATACGATCCTCATAAAACACAAAATTATAAATATATCTATGCAGCGCTCAGTCACCGTTTTATCTTACTCTTCACACATACAGAGAGTTGAATCCTCCCACCTGAGAGAGCTCCCCCTTCCTTAGTCTCCCCCTGAGAAAAGCCACTCTGACCTGCCTCTCATACAGCCCCCTTCTTCTTCTCTCTGTCAGCCCCCTGTACATGCCTTCATTTATCACAAATATAATTTTTTAGACGTTAAGACGTACATCTAGTGAATACTACTAAGAGAGCCACCAAAAATCAAAGATCACACAAGAAACCCAATCTCAAGAGAAAAGAAAAAGAGATGAGAGAGAAGAGAAAGTAGAGAAAGGTTAAAAAGAAGAAATACTACCATTTCCCTATTTGCCAATTGTGAATATAACTGTTATTCATAGTATTTAACACATATACTCCAGAGCAATTCTAGCTGTAAGTAACATCTAGTTATTGTGTTGAAGAAACTCACTCTGTTCTTCCTTCTCTCCTCTTTCCCTCTCTCCCACAAATCCCAGTCTTTTTCTTTTTCTTCCATAGCCTTGCAGGTTTTTCTGCCCTGTGCTGCAGGCCTCTTCGGCTCCTCCAGGCCATAGTCCACCCAGCTCCTGCCGTGGTTTTGCCGGTTGCCATAAACCCGTAGATCCGAACTTGCGGTACGACTGCCTCACACAAGCTCGAGTCTGTGGGTATGTGTCGACCTTGGCCAGGACTTCCAGACATGCTGTTGCACCCGGACCTTCTCTCTAGCGTTGGGGCTTAGATACGGACCCCCCTGAAAGTTGGCGAGAGCTGATGTCCCTGCAGCAAAAGCAAGCAGTATGACAACTGCCAGATCCCCGTTCTCTGGAATCATTTGGCTGAAAGGGCAGGGGAGAGCACAAAACGTGGGAATTTAGCTTCCCAAGAACCTCAGCTTTTGTTTACCGTATTTTTCGCTCTATAGGACGCACCAGACCATAGGACGCCCCTTCCATTTCTCCTCCCGCTTCGCTGAAGGGGCGCTGCACAGAGAGGGAAAACTGTGCAGCGCCTCTCCAGCGAAGTGAAGCCTGGAGAGCAAGAGGGATCAGTGTGCACCGACCCCTCTCGCTCTCCAGGTTTCAGGCAGCTATCCGCAAGCCTTCAGAGCGCAGCAGGAGCTCCTGCTGCACTCCGAAGGCTTGTGGATAGCTGCCTGAAGCCCCTGGAGCGAGGCGGGAGTTCCCAGCGAAAGCAATGAAGGGGGGAGCTCTCCCTCTGCGCTTTGGAGGCTTCGCATTGCTATCGCTGAAGCCAAGGAGCCTGCATTCGCTCCATAGGACGCACACACATTTCACCTTAATTTTTGGAGGGGGGAAAGTGCGTCCTATAGAGCGAAAAATACGTTATTTTATTTTTTTAAAAAACAGCAAGATCCTAGTCCATATGCCTCTAAAAAAAACATGCTTGGAAGTGTGTGGCAATGCCTGCTGAAATTCCAGAATCCAGAGAGGTTGTTGTGTAAGATTTTAGTGAATGGGGGCGGACAGGCCTTCAGGTGCCCTACATAGCTCCACGCTGCTCCCTATGCTAAGCAAATCCAGATTCAGTGGTGCAAAAATTAATAACAATTATGATGATACTTTATAAATAGAATAAATTATGCAGAGGAGAAACAGTGATCGTTTGCCCTACCGGCTAGTTTAAACAGGTTGCAGCATTTGGACTGCCTGGGAAGACATTTTTCTTTTTCTTTTCAGCAAACAGTTGGCACAGCCCTGCCAGCCTGCCCCATGACCAGCACCAGCAGTTGGCAGGGCTGGCACTTGCCAAGCCCCAGAAGCTGCTGCAGACCCTCTCGCCAATCCTCCCTGCTAGGGAATTTGCGATCTCCCAGGCCTGCAAGTTGCTAGATCTTCGTTCCGATTTATAGGCGCAGATTTTGTAAATGCTGCCTAGAAGCAACAACCTTTGCCCTGGAAGCCTCTTCCCTGTATCTCATATGCTTTGAGGCTGCCTGTGATAATGCAGGGATAGCCTGATTTTGAACCAGAAGGATCCCTAAGGGCCTCTTATCCAGAAGCCCATGAAAATCTGAAGCCAGGTTTTCTCTCTCTTGCATATAGCTGGTGGAAGCCAAACATATATGAGAAGAAAACCCATTCTATTTCCTCAAGGCAGTAGGTTTCCATGATCTTAGAGGGGATGAAATTGGCCTCTTTCTCTTGGGTGGTAGAGCTGTGTGAAAACCTCTGTCTCCTGCAGCTGGACTTTCTCCTAGCCAACGAATGACTGGTGTCTTCAATCTGCGACGCAGCTTGTCTCCTCCTGCTGGGGGTCCCGCCACATTTCCAGACGAAACCTGGTTGGGAAGCTTTCTCTCCTCCTTCTCCAACTCCTGCTGCGTGGCCTCGTGTTGAGGTAGTAGGTTGTATGGTTTAGAATAACACCATCAGGAGATAACTGTACAGCCTCCTAGCTTTCCCTGGGGCAACGCCACCATCCGAGTTGGTCCACTTGGCAGCGGGGCGCCAGCCGCCATAAGGGTGAGTAGCAAGCAAGGTGACTCCCTGTTGCTGGAAGCGATTTGGCTTAACCTCAGAAACTCCCTGTTGCAGTTTCCTCATGGGGTGGGGCACCGGAAGGCGAGCCACGCGCCTAAAGCTGTAGACCGGCTTGATGAGACCTGGAAATGGTTTGAGAGAGGCTCCCCTTTGTGTGGCACAACACACACACACACACATTTATTTCGTCTACGTACCTATTTGGTTGTAGGAGAAAGTTGCACGCCAGCAGTGACCCCTCTTTGAAATGTCCTTCTAAGGGGGCTGCTGTTCGTGCATTGCCAGAAAGGAGGGGACGGGTCTGCGTAAAATGTGCCCCTGCTAATTCATATGAATAGGTGCAAATGTAGAAGTAAGCACTGCAATTTAAATGGAAGTTAAATGCATTTGACGCTACTGTGGCAGAGTGACTCTTGTGTCTTCTCAGTCCGCTTTCTGGGTGCTGCTAACTTACAGGAGAAGTGGAAAGGACCCTCCTGCCTGCCCTTAACTATAGCTTTTCGTCTTTAAACCATACTTGGTCCAGGCAACCTTTCAAGCAGAGAACTGTTAGCTGTAAATTATTATCATTATTACTGTTATCAGCAAACAGATATACAGTTTAAAAACAAAAACCAAGCAAAAGACATTCGGAAGCATATTGAAGGTAAAGGGACCCCTGACCATTAGGTCCAGTCGTGGCCGACTCTGGGGTTGCGGCGCTCATCTCGCTTTACTGGCCGAGGGAGCCGGCGTACAGCTTCCGGGTCATGTGGCCAGCATGACTAAACCACTTCTGGCAAACCAGAGCAGTACACGGAAACGCTGTTTACCTTCCCGCCGGAGCAGTACCTATTTATCTACTTGCACTTTGACGTGCTTTCGAACTGCTAGGTTGGCAGGAGCTGGGACTGAACAACAGGAGCTCACCCTGTCGCAGGGATTCGAACTGCCGACCTTCTGAGCGGCAAGCCCTAGGCTCTGTGGTTTAACCCGCATACTTCCATCCAGTGTTTTCTCGAGGTCTGCAGGTACAGCATTCTTCAGCTGCCAAATGGCTGGGTGAGTGGGGATGTTTTCAAATTCCTCCTGAAAGTTAATAATGAGGGAGGCAGGCACTCCTCTCTAGGATACATGGCAACCCTATCTCAGAAATCTTGGGGCCGGAGGCAGACATCTTTCTCCAGGTTCAGAGGCTGGAGAGGTGGCTGAATACAATTTTCAGTGGTCAGGAATGAAGATCCAGTGCCTTGCAGGACTCCTTGTGGCTAGCGGAAACCGCACGATTAAAAACTCAAGATTGCCAATTCTGCATAATGCGTTATGTAGAACAAATCTGCAGGTTTGCGTGACATCTGCCTTTCTTTCGGTGCAGGCCATTGTTTGTGTAAATTACACAACCAGCTGGAACATGCTCAGTTGTCTTCTGGTGTGAGAGTGTGTTGCGTTCGTACGCATATAGTTTTGGGTGTGTGGTTTTTTTCAATTGTGTTAAAACATGTGTATTGTACAGGAGGCTTAAAGACAAAGATTCCGCGGGTGCTGACCTGCAAGGGGATGCCAGGCTTCCGGGGGTAAAAGGATTGGAGAAATGGAGCTGACCTTGGGGAGAAAGTGGGCAAGGTGGATGTCTGGAGCAGCTGTAAGAAATGATACTGAGCCTAGGAGAAAGACGGGAAGGCGTGCAAGTGCTGGAGATATACTTGTTGCGTTTTTATCTTGCCCTTCGCCCAAGGGTGGCATGCAAGGCCTTTCCAGATGGGAAAGGATGGCGCCGTCTCTTTATGTGAGGTGCTCAAATGCCATGTGCTGCGCAAGCAACACGGGAGCAACAGATGGCTTTGTGAGTCACATTAGGGAAACCAGAGGGCACCGAAGAAGCCCGGGACCAATACGAGGAGGCAAGTTCATGCCTGGCCTTAAGGGCATGTGAAGATGTCAGCTGTGCACGTTGCCCCTCGCGCTAAGTTGTGGTGAGGCACATCACCGTGTGATATGCAGGGTCTCTCCACGACCTTTCTGCTGCCCCTTGTGTTCACCCCTTGTGTTCACTCAACTGGGCAGAGAAGGATTTGTGTTACGTTCCCTTGGCAGTGGTTGAGCAAAGTGGAAGAGATTCTGTGTGCAGGACTTTGGTGTGTGTGTGTGTGTGTGTGTGAAGGGGGTACTTATTCCAGATAAATTATTCTGGAATCTTGTTTTATTTTAAAGCATGATCCTAGGGGAGTGACCTTTTGGTTCTGCGCACCTGGAGGGCAATACGCATTTACAAAACCGCAGGAATACGCAGATCGGGTTGTGTTTTGTAACCTTTGGGAAACAGTGTGTGGTCTGAAGCAGCTCTTTGTTTTACTGCGTGAATTGTCCTTGTTTGTGCTGTGAGCGACTGTCTGGCGTGGTGTGGAAGCTATATTGTGAGATGTAGCCTTTGTTAGCAGCACAAAGCCCTTGCAAAAGCAACGCATGGAGTTGGGAAGTACCAATTTATTTATTTTTTAAGGGTTGTACCTGTGGGCACTGGGCATGCACTTTTTGGGGCGGGGGCAGCTGCCTGCATGGGAGGGGCTGCTTCATTCGCAGACGGGCCATTTGCCTTGCGCCTCACGTGCCATTGTCTAGGTACGTACACGCGTGTGGTGCATCTGTGCTTCATGCGTACGCTTAATGTGGAGAGCGTGTGTATTTCAAATGTGAACATGGGGCGCGCGTCTCTCTGGGGCAGACCAAAGGTCTCTTGGCTCCAGCTTTCGGCAACGATCAGGCATGATAGTGAGGGCCATGCCCATTTGCCCCATGTAATTTAGGATACACTGGCCCTGTAAATGGAGGCTCCATTCCTCTGGCACAGACGGTTCCGGCTTGTGCCTTGCAGCACTTTTTTTGTCATTTTCACGCGAGGCAGCCATGCGTGGCTGGCATGCTCTTGACCTGTGGCGGGCCATGCAACATGGCATGTCTGGCTCTCAGTCCATGTGGTGTGGCTTGCGTCTTTTGCCTTGCATTTGCCAGCCGCGTTGTGCCGCGCTGCACGCTCTCTCGTCCGATGGGTGCAGAGTGTGGCGTGGGTCTGTTTGGGCTCAGCCCCACCTGCCTCGCTCACCTGCCGCTTATTGTCTCGGTTTGCTGCCATTTGAATTTTTCCCAGCCAGCTCCCTCCCTCCCTCTCCGCCGCTCCCTCTTCTCCCCTCCTTCCCTCTCTCTCACTCTCTCTCTCTCTCCGCCCTCCCTGCCGTCTGGATCCAGGCAAGTCTGATAAAGTTCCATTCCAGACAACAGCCGCATTGCGTTGCTACAGCATAGACAGCGGCCCAGGGAGAGAGAGAGAGAGAGAGACATAGAGCCAGAGCTAAGCAATGATGGGGAGAAAGAGAGAGGAGAGCATCCGTCAATAGGCACAGCCACCCATGAACCACAGCCAAAGCCAAGGACGGAGGATGGCAAGCGAGGAGGGCAGAAGGAGAAGAGGACCAGAACAGGTTAACCTTCCCTGCATGGGGAATTCACCAGCCCTGACCTGCGGGGTGGGAGAGGGAGGGAATTGGCAAGGGAATAAGGAGGACCAGGATGGAGACCGGAGGAAAGGGGCTGGGTGGGTGAGTGCAAGAAACAGGCGATGAAGAATAAGGGGAGGGGAAGGGGCTGACACAGAGCAACAAGGAGGAGAGAGGCGATGAGGCAGAGGTGCTGGAGAGGATGGGGGGGGGGACAGGTGGCATGTCAGGGGCAAGAGGGATAAGGGGAGATGGGTCAGCCTTTGCACACAAAGCTTGGGTGGTGAAGGGGATTGGCAGGTGGGTTAGTGACCTTAAGTTTGGTGGTGAGGAAGGGGGAATGTGTGGGGTTTTTGTGTAGGAGGAGGCGACTCACCTTCCTTAGAAAGATGAGAAGCCCGATAGCTGTGGAATGCTAAATTTCCATCCTGCCTGCCCCCTCCAGGGGCAAGTGGAAGCAAAGATGAGAACAGAAAGATGCACTCTTTCTCTGGGGTTCAACAGTTGCCACCTGGGGCATCTCTCTCTCTCTCTCTTGTTCTCTCTCTCTCTCTCTCTTTCATATGTCATGTGTGTCTTTCTCCAAGGAAGGCGAAATGCATGCGCAGTGTCCCCATCCCTCCCACCCAGCCAAACCAACCGGGGGTTTCTTAGAGAGGTCCCAGCTGCTACCACCCCTGTGGGCACTTCCTGACATAACGCACCCGTGGACCCATGACCTCATTGAGGGATCCAATGCGTGACCCCCCCCAAAAAAAATTTATTGCCTCCCCCTACTCCAAAATACAAGATGGACACGCTGTATGCGCATTGGAACGATTCATGTGCGTGCACACACGCCTCAGGGGCCACACCCACCCAAGGGATTCCCATCCTCAGATATACACAAACCTCTTTTGAAAACACTATTGGGTTCTTCTCTCAGGGGGAAAAATGTGCACTCTCTTACACACACACACACACACACACACACACACACACACACAAAGAGTCCTCCAGGACCGGTCAAGGAGGAAAAAATCTGCATGTGAGGGAGCTGGGTGTGGGTGTGTGTGGGAACAGAAAGACTGAGAAAGCGGTTCTTAAGGTTATTCATCACAGATCGCCTTCTGTTGGGTGCATGGATAACTACTGTTTGTGTGTGGTAGGGTGAGCTGGATTTGGCAAGTTGAAAGCAATGGGAATTACATGGCACAAGTTCCATATAACAAGGAGAGAGGGGTGTGTGTGCCGTGCCACATGCGTGTGCCATGAATCAATCCATTGTGCACCACGGAGGCAGCGTGCTTGAAAGGGGCAGTTTGGCAGAGGTCTGTGAGTGCGCGGAGAGAGGGTATTGTTTGCGGAGAGGATGGCGTGGTTTGCGGGCAGTGGTATCGATGTCAAGGTGAATGCATAAAAGAGATCTCTGTGCGGGGAAACGTGTGAGCCTGTGTGTGCCCGGGGTGTGAGTGCGAAGGAGCGGGCAGGCGTGTTTGCTGTGCATGCCGTGGCTGCAAATATTCAAATCCTTGGTATTCCTCAGGACAGAACATGCTCACATAACACAGACCCCAAGCAAAAGTATCTGTTGGGGAGTTGGACCCTGTCTCTGACTGGAGTGTCTGCATCATAGCATGTTTGGAAGATGGCTTGTATCCGGCACAGTCTTGGGCTGAAGGAAGTTTGGTGTATGTGTGCCCATTTGTGTGTGTGTGTGTGTTGTGCATACATCATAAATTGGCCGTAGAGAGATTTGTGTACATGGTTGCTGACTTTGGGGGGCTGGTGGAGTTACCTGCAGATGGTTGGGGTGGTCCATTAGATGTACTTTTTGGAAAACACAAATGTGCTGGTGCAGGTGTCTCTCCTATTATATCACAGAGCCGTTCGTGATGTGGCTTTTGGCTCACCACGCCCAACGCCTGTGCCCAGCGACAGCAACAAGAAACACACCCTGACCAGGTGAGTTGGTGGGTGGGGAGAAACACCCTTTTGTGTCCGAGGACTGGGCTCCAACCCCTCCAGATCTCCCTCATACTTGGCTGGTTATGCTTTTCCATGCAGCCCTGATCAGTGTCCCTCGCCTAACCTAGCGAGTCTCCGTGGAGCTGCTCCCTGTGGACTTCTCAAAGGCCGCAGAGGACTGTTTCACATGATGGCTGCAGTCAGGTGCCCACCGCTTCTTTCGGCTTGTGGGTTAGCCAATATGCTCACCCTGAGCAGACACTGCCACTTTCTCACGTCGCCTCAGATCAACGCCCGTTGGCAGCAGACGAGGCAGACAGTCCTCTCACACAAGGGCTGAGTTCAACAGGGCCCCAGAGCCTCTCTTGAACTTTCTGGGCCAGCACATTTCCCTGACTTGAAGCCTACCCAGAGACTGAGCCGGCCAGAGGAATCAGCCCGACTGACTGCATTGAAATCCACTTCACCATTCGCAGCAGCAGGGGGACAGGCGCAGTTCTGTGTCCTCTGGCATATGCTGGAACATTCCAGAAATGTAGGCCCATCCCTTATCCAGAGTGTAAGGGAGTCTCTCTGGAATCTTAGCAGGAACTAAGGCCCAAAATGCAGAAATGCCAAGAGCACAGCGGGTACAGGCTGAAGCTGTCCCACCTATAAAATGCTACCCAATATTGAGGTTGAAACATCCCGGTGGCTTCTCCTTGCCCACCCACTTTCCACAAACTTCTCAACTGGCGCTTATCGAAATGGAGATCAGGCCCAGGCTTTTCTCCAAATTGAAAGCATCCTTTAGAAAACTTTCTAAGAATGGCGCCCTTCAGAACTTCCAAATTTCCCACAATAGTTCTTTTAATTAAATGTGTCTTGCCTAGCCTGCTTTTGTTTTCATATTTGTTCAATGCTTTTTTAAAAAAAAAAAGAAACAGCTTATATCCTCCCAAACAGCCTTCCCTCTTTTAAAAAACCCTTTTTTAAGATTCCACTTCTTATTTAGCAACTGGCTTTGATGCTCTCTTTTGCCATGACCTTCTTGAGTTCACATTACCTGTTCTCAGTGTGGTTGCCCACCACCACCAGCACATTCTCTGCCCTTTTGTGATTGTATTTTCTTCGGGGCACACCCTTTGGGTTGCACGGTGAGGCTCAAGACAACTACAAATTTTCGTAGTAGAACTCCCACCTTTTGGGGGGGTGTATTTTCCTGTGTCCATTTTCAGCAACTCTTGGCTGTAACGCATTACAAGTGGGATGGGAAACCTGTGTCCCCCAGACGTTGCCAGACTCCACCTACCACCAGTCCCCCACCAGCCTGGCCAGAGATCAGGAGTGACAGGAGCTGTGGTCCAGCAGCATCTGGGAGGCCCACACATTCCCCCCCATCCCTAGTACTCCAGCGATGCACTGCCCTGAAAATGGTTAGCTTCTGTAGAGCATCGGTCTTCAGCTGGTGGTTTGGGTCACAGCCAGTGGCGTAGCGTGGGGGGTGCAGGGGGGCCAGCCGCACCGGACGCAACATCTGGGGTTAGGGTTAGGGGGCGCAAATCCACGGGTTAGGGGGTGCAAATTACTTGCCTTGCCCGGGTGCTGACAACCCACGCTACGCCACTGGTCACAGCCTAATCCAAGGTGGGTTGCAACAGGAGCACTTCCCATCGTGCAATTGTATGGTAAAAGATTAAGAAATGGGTCCTCAAATGCATGTTTGAGTTACAAGTGCATCCTGGGTCTGAAAAGGTGGGAAGCTACTGCTGCAGAATATTAGGAGAGGTGAGTGGCAGGAGGGAGGGAGGGGAGACGGCGGGACATGTACCTTTGCTGCATTTCCATCCTGATTGCTTGCCTACCATTGGGGCAGGTAATAGCGCTGCAAAGTGACAGTGGGCTGTAGCCAACGCTCATTCTTCTCAGAGCAGACCCACTGAAATTAACGGGCACGACTGATTTAGGTCCATTAATTTCAGTGTTGAAATTTAAGCAGAAATCAGATGGACCCAGAAGGTTTGGCAGTTAAATAGATCTACTTGTTGCAGAATAAAAAGGTTGGCTTCCACTGGACCGAGGACTAGGTGGGAGGCTTGAGGAGGTGCTGGACTTCAAGCTCCCCAGGATATTGTATTCTTTGGCCTAGAAATTTTTCTTTCAGCTCTCAGATATTTGGGGACTGGCTACCAATCCTAAGTGGTCCCGCATGTGTCTGGGAGGACACTCTGTGCGTGTTCAGGAAAATTTCTTGTTCATCTTACTTTCCATGTCCTAATATTTGGCGTTGAGAATAATGATCCAGCCCTGGCAAAATTGGAATTGGATAATGGTGAAGATGATTTACACAGCCACCGATAGCTCCCTGGATGGCTTACAGCAATGGTTTTAAAATGCAATATACAATAATAATTACAAACCAACAATTAGTAATAATAATATAAACCTTACTTGCATAAAGCAGCCTGAATTTAAAACAATTCAAAAGCCTGAGTGAATGCAAAGGTATTTACTTGGCACTGAAAAGACCACGAAGAAGATGTGAGGTGAGAGAAATGGCGTCAAAGAGACCCTGCTCTGAGTGCCAAGTGAGGTGAGCCGAGTGGCTCCAAAGGAGAGATCCTTTTTGATAGTGGCACCATAGCCTGCCTTCAGTGGCGGTCAAATGCCTTCCTTATGGTATTTCTGGTGCCTTTTTATTCACCCAGGTGTTTTAACTGTGTTTTAAACCGAACCCGCAAACTGCCAGATAATTAGATATGAGTTATGTCAGAAAAGCAACAGGGCGTTCTGTTTTGTATTTTAATTTTCAGGGGAAGCTAAAAAAGAGAATCACGTTGAAAGAATTGACCCAGTTCCGCTGAACTTAAAGGGTGTCATTAAGGCGTCTTTGCATTTCCAAAGCGGCTGCCATCCTTCTGCTTTGCCGCCTGCCTTGGCGAAGGAGGGGAGGTTTGGGGATAAAACGAAACTAGAGAACGAGAATCGTCCAAGAGACTTTGAGGACCTGCCATGATTTTGTGTCTAGCACCAGTTGAGGAACGGAAGTTTGCTTGCTCTTTTTATTCCTGTCTTGCTAACCTTATGGTGCCTTGTCTCTCACCTGTTTCCCCCCCTCCCAGGTTAAGGAGTCACATGGGGGAACTACCTCCTCCCCACCCCTGCCTGCCCCTTCCTGTTACAGTCCCATTATCCTTTCTCTGCCTTCCTACTTCCTCGTTTCCCGGCATCCTCTCTGTCCCTGAGACCCTTAACCTGTGAGGAAGCCCAGAGGTCACAGGTGAGGTTCTTGGGAACTGAGCGGGTAGCCCACCCCCTGCGACCCCCAAACGCCAGGGTTCTTGCCTCGTTCCCCCAGGACGGAGCAAAGGGGCTCAGTAACACAAACTACTAGATGCATTGTGAAATACTGTGGCTGTCTTGGTCATCCAGAATGGTGAAGAAAGCAACTGCTTTGAGTGGATTCTACCCTATGCTGCGGGGAACACCCAAACTCACAGAAAAGCTCTTAAGATGAATGGTTTGCACAGCATCGGCCCGATAGGGTGTGTGATCTTTGTGCTATGTACCTCTGGTCTCAGAGCTAGAACCCATACTGCTCCCATGCAGAATTGTCCCATGTCCAGCACGACCTCCTATCCTGGGTACCAGAACCACAGAGGCTTCGCCTGTGTCAGCAGTTTGACTAGTGAAAAACTGAACTTCCTCCAAAAGGAAGTTGCCCTGCTGTAGCTGTTCTTGCCCACTCTTGGGGGGTGTTATCGGAGACAACAAAATGCAGAAACGAACTGGCCTGAGCCAAGTTGGGAATGTGCATCTTCGTTGGCTTTGTTGGCTATAGCTTTTGTGAAGGGACCAACAAGTCTCTCTCTCTCAGGATCCCTGGACTTCTTGTTCCCTGCTGCAGCTCCTACAGTTCCCAGGATCCCTTGGGGGAAGAGACAGCAACATTTACACTAGTAAACATCAGTAATGTAAGAGATGCTCCCCTTGTGAATTGGCAGTGGCAGTGGCACATATGGTACTTCCTCCCTTGAGTCGAGGAGTCTTCGGTACTTTAACCGAGGTTGGGAGAGCCTTTCCCAGACCTAAAGTCCTCCACAGAGGCACAGCCGTGAAGCTTGAAAGGTGCTGTTAACCCACAGCCCAAAGTTATCCCTGGCTGCCTGGAATTGCCATCCATCCCCCGCCAACCCAGCATGAACCGCGACTGATTTCTAGTCCCTGCATCAAAACATATTCTAAGCAAGCTGGTAATTTCTGGATTTTCCTGATTGAACCATTGCGCATAAATCAAGGGAGCCTTAACGCTGCCTGACCTTCTGCAGTAGAATGTTTTTAACACCACTGAGAAGCATCTAAAGATAACTGGACATGCTCAGCTTTGAGGTGTTCCTTTATTAGGTAAAGGTAAAGGGACCCCTGACCATTAGGTCCAGTCGTGGCCGACTCTGGGGTTGCAGCGCACATCTCGCTTTATTGGCTGAGGGAGCCCGTGTACAGCTTCCGGGTCATGTGGCCAGCATGACTAAGCCGCTTCTGGCGAACCAGAGCAGCACACGGAAACGCCATTTACCTTCCCGCCTATTTATCTACTTGCACTTAGACGTGCTTTCAAACTGCTAGGTGGGCAGGAGCAGGGACCGAGCAACGGGAGCTCACCCCGTCGCGGGGATTCGAACCACCGATCTTCTGATTGGCAAGTCCTAGGTTCTGTGGTTTAAACCACAGTGCCACCCACGTCCCTGTTCCTTTATTACATGTGATATAATACCAAGAATGACAAAGTACTCATGGTTGGGTACACGGACTAATCCTTTCACACATATGTGGGCAACCCACAGGCAGTCATCAGAGGTCCCATGTGGCCCACTCAGGTGTTCAAGTTGCCCCCAGCTGCCAAACTTGTGCATGCAAAAGGCCCTTCTCAGTACTGCTCCATCCCTGTTTTACTTGGACCTCTGCCATTGTTTAAAACCACCATTTTCCTCTCAGTGTTGCTCCACTAGCACTTTCCACAAACGTCTACCATTATTTAAAACAATTACATTTTCTTCTTTCCAGTGTAGCTCCCTATCACTGCACTCCCAACCTTCCCCTCTTCCGTTCCGTAGCTGCCTCTTGTGGGATAGATAAAGCAGATAAAGCATGTGTAGCCCTCAAATATTCCATAGTACTTACTCAAACCTCTGCTCCTGTTCGAAAGTGCCACTTCCTCTCATTTTTCTCCATCCCAGCTTTAGTCAAACTTAACCCTGTTGTTTTAAAACACCACTTTCCCCTGCTCAGTGTCCTCCCTCCCTTGCCATGGCCACTGCTCTTGTGCAACCTGCCTTCAATCTTGCTCTGCGATCCTGCCCCTGACTTCATCCAAATCCAAGATTGTGATGAGGTACGACATCCTTACATATTTATTATAGAGGGAGATATGACTTGTTACTTCAAGCTAAACTGTGGGAGGCTGGGTTTGTTGTTGTTTTTTACACCTTCCCCACCCAAGGGAGCAGGTTTGACAGGTGTCTCCGTGCCTTTAAGGCTCCTCAGAGGGAGACACCATCAAATGACTGATCCCCTCTATCTCAGCAACATCGGGGGTCCACCATCCCACCTCAAGAAGAAACTGAACAGGAGGACAGTAGGGTCACTTTAGCAAAACCTGATGTTGTGTGTTTTTCTGTGACATTAAATAACATGCTATCCAGCCCTCTGTTTTTCATATAGCCTGCCGTATCCCAAGGACTCTGTGTAAGTAATAGGGGTAAGTTTGAAAAGAAATTGGAATATGCAACCGACAGTGCTAGTGAGCTCTTGACATGCTCCATTTTAATGTTACATGGCAAAGGTGAATGATTTGCTAGTGGTATGGAGACCTTCACTCAAGTGTGAGGTCTG